TCCCCGATTTAGGTCATACCCCATCAGTGGTTCTTGACAACACTGTTTGCTGCAGGGGGCTGGGGTCCACAGCAGTAAAAAGAAAATTACCACAAAAGTAAAATGAAATGCCATTTTTACCTAGGGCCAGAAGAAGCACGAGGTTTTCCCTTTATAGAATTCAAGTGCTGGGTGACAAATATAACGCCCATCACTACTAGGAGACAACCAACTAGCGTGCTGAAGAAGAGAGCACCTGGCTGTCTAGTCTGGACAAAACCGTAAACGCCATTTGACGTCATGAGAATGAGATCAGTAAGGCCATCATTTGAGAAGTCCTCGCAAATAAGGGCATGGGTAGGAGATGCCGGGAGATCAATGGTTGTCAATACACTTCCTCCGCGGGATATGACTACGGCTTCTTGATCTCCTCCAGCAAGTATCATTTGCTGATTGTCGTGTACACGCAAAGAAAACGCCTTCAGCGTGGGGACTACCATGCCTCCTTCCATCATTCCTGCTGGAGAAGGAAGGTTGGACCATGTTGCATCAGTAAAAATCTGCCACTGCCAAACAGCATCATGGCCATGCAAGCCAGGGGAATATGCTGTTACCTGAAAGAATTGGCACACTGGTAAGGCCCCAACACATAAGCAGAGAAAGGACTTTAATATCCAAGAATTAAGATCAATGTGTTCCAAGACCATTAATATGTAATCCCACTTCACGTTGATATAAATGTGATTGATATAAATGTGGTTTTTGACGTTTAATAAAGTAAATGAAAGTTTCAAACAAATAATGACTGCTTAGTCCTGTATATTTTGGTATAAGTAAGATGGAAGTGAGAATTTAATATTAATATTTAATACCCATCACAAGGGAGAATTTTTATGTTGTTCCTTGAATGAAGGTATATACGTCCAAATTCAAGATAGATTAAACAGATAGATCAAGATTAGAACCATACCTCCCCCCGATTTGTTAAGAAGATAACATCACCGTGACTCCCCTTACGATGCCTGTGCCCATCATCTCTAGGTACGAGAATCGGTGTTGCAACCTCCAAAGAAGAGACGTCCTGAGTTCTACCAAAATGTCTTGCAAACTCCCCATGCTGGAATAAGTTAAAGGGGGAATGATGACATATGGAAGCATTGAAAAGTTGTTCGCGTACTGGTACACCAGAGGTTGCCACAGCCAAACAAAGGGCGCAGCACCTTCCATTGATCCACTAACAACGGTCTGTTCAGCACCATTTTCCCCCAACAGCCTGAAGAGAAAGGAACATTACTGCCCATTATAATTAACAAGCCCAAACTTTCTACCAAGTTTTGCACCCTATTTTTTTTCCAAT